CTCTCTGTGTGTGTGTGTGTGTGTGTGTGTGTGTGTGTGTGTGTGTGTGTGTGTGTGTGTGTCTGTCTCTGTGTGTGTGCCCCCCCGCCCGTCATTAGACCACTTACCGCTCATCCACTCTCACGCGTATTGCAACGATACCTGTATGTCGCAACATTCGATGTTGTCTCTCTCTTCACAAACAGGCAGAGAAACGACGTGGAAGCAACATCCTCCAAAGCGAGGGCTCCAACGCCATTGCCAGGCAGAGAAACGACTGCAGAGAAAAAGGGAGGAGAAGAGGCAGAGAGGTCGAGGATGGGAGAACGTTAGAGAAGGGCGTGGAGGCCAGCGAAGAAACGCGGGCATTGACACAGAAAGGAAAAAAGACATTCCGGCAATCCAATAGCGTATGGGGGGAGGGAAGTGGAGCGCGGGTGCAGTGAAACAGAAGGGAAGAGGAGGGCGCGTACCGCGTCGTACCAGGGAATGAGCGAGTGGAAAGCGCAGAGGGCGTTCTCACCGGTTTACGGCGCGATTCACCTCCAGACTCCTTCAGTTCCTTCGAAATGATCGTAACATAAAACAGCAACAACGACAACTGGAGTGGCGACGATGTTGTCATTTAATTACTTTCCTTCCATTTCTACACAGCACCGCCAAATTCAAATCCGAAATCTCGAAACCCCCCGCGTCGGAGATCGTGGTACGGTCCTTCTCCCGCTACCAGGTTTCTACACGCCCCGTTCCCCCTCCATCGTCCTCGACGTTGTCACGTCATACTTTGGCCCCAACATGCCCCGTTCCCCCTCCATCGTCCTCGACGTTGTCACGTCATCCTTTGGCCCCAAAAACACGTGTCACCGACTTCGCGGCCTCCCTTTTCCCCCGCCTGTGTTGCTTCAGTCAGACGATCGGCCACAAAGCATCTTGCTGCCTATGCTGCTTCCTTCCCGTCCGTTTTCCGTTCGGTTCTTTTCCTTTTTTTCCTTTCTCCTCCATTCCGTTCCGTTCCGTTCCGTTAGATCACCTCTTACGAAGGTTGACGAGCTCATCCGGAGCGCGCCCATTGACTCGCGCTCCACAAACCCATCGTTCACAGCTAGATGGTGATCGATAGCCAGCTAGATGGCGATCCTGGCTATCGATTTCCTCGCTATGACCAATCATCAACTGCAGCGAGAGGTCGCAGTGCAGCCCCGAGAGGCACGAAACGACAAAAACATGTGGATGCGCCCCATCTGGCAGAAATGTGGCGCTGAACGGCCAACTTCTCATTCCCACCCCACCATGATCCGTGGGGTGAGCAGAAAATAGTGTAGTGAACTCCACCGACTGTGCGCGCCTCTTGCCATTACCCCGAAATCCGCTCTCCCACCCTCCTCCAACCCCTGCACCCTTGCTGAACTCAACCACGCAGGCTTCCCCTCCGCCTTCGACACCAGGACACACCAAACCAAATCCTGCTACCCCCACCCCACCCGCACGCCCCCCTCCCCAACCCTGGAAGTGCGCACGCTTACATTATCAACCAGCAGAACACTTAAGCCGTGCCAGTCCTCAGCTTCCTCGAACCATCCGCCTACAGGCACGGACTATTGTAGCCCCAGCACTCGCTAAATGTGAAAACGACGAGAGAGAAAAATCCATGACTGTCTCTTTCCACGTTCTTTGCAAACATACGCTCACCGCTTCACACATTCGGTGAGTACTGCAGCGTGGCCCTGCAGCCCTGCTGAACAGGAACACGACTTGTCCAAACCTCACTCACAGGATTCGTAGGATTCTTTCCGTAGGGCCTGGGTCCACCACGGCCACTCGGCAAAACTGATACATCACTCCCGTGAGGCGGACTGCCAGTGGTGGTGTTCTCTTGCGGCACCGCCTGCGCTAATGCATTGACTTACCAGCTATGGTGGAAAAACAGAGGTAACTCCTTCGGGACAGAGACGTAGCATGGCCCCTGCTCAAGGCCCCTGTGCAAGGATGATACGCATAAATAGAGAAATGGTCCAAATTAAACCCTCGGTGGCCCAATCCTCCCCCTACCGATTGCCCGACCCTGGCCGAGCCTACACCTACCCGTAGTTGGCAAAAAAAACTAGAACCAAGGGGGAAAAAAGGAAAAATAAAGACAGTGGTGGCGGGGAAGGGTCGGTAGAGCTAGGAAGAGCGCTAATTCTCGCGCTATTCGTCGGGAGAGCGGGAAGTCTCGAACGTACGGGCCGAACGGTAACTCTTCGATCAGCAACCCACGCAGCTATGGGGAGTTAGGGTTTTCTGCGGGTTCACCATCGCCGGTATAGGAGAGGCGGAGGTTCACGAGCCTTGGCAGGCAACTGCTGAGGTATGGGCAATGGCCAGAGCGGATGCAACCATACAAGGGGTATGGTAGAGGGAGCGGGTACGGCCAGGTATCCGACAGTACAGGAAACAACCGCACGGAGGAAGGAAGACAACAACAGGCTGAAGCCAGGAGGAAATGACCGATCTCTCGAAGTTTGGAGGTAAAAGCCTACTCACCACAAACCATCTCCCTTGCTTTTCATTGGTAGGAGTAAGAATAAGTCGAGGGGTAAGGGGAAGCTACTCGAACAGGGGAGGGGACAAACCGAAGAACTTTCTTCTCAGGTACTCCAAGAAAGGGAATGGGACGGGAAAACCATGATAACTTCCCTGTTGCTTGCTCTCCTCACCCAACCCCCGACTCTTACTTCAATCTGCCCTCGAAAAGTGGGACAGGGTTCGCAACCAATGCTAGCTGAAGATACAAGACTCAAGTCCAGAAGCTAACGGATCAGCCCGAGCATAATACAGCAATTCCTCAGCTGATGAGGATTAATCACGCTCATATTGTAACTCAGGGGAGAATCTTCATCCCGATTGTAGGAACAAAAGAGCCGAGTACTTGGGTATCTCACGACGGGGACGGGCATAAACTCATATGCACTATTTGACAAACAGGCCATGCGACCAGACGCATTTGATTTTACCCGATCCACGTCGTTCCGTGGTTGGCAGCTAGGAAGTACAGAATCACAACGCTCATCCATACAGCATGGTGCATGGAATATCCTGCTTTCGCATACGTGATAAAAGCCCGCTTAAGTTTTGAGTCCCTCTTCACTGCACGGTCCCAAGTGGCCGAATGGCAACCTCTCCCCCCCCCTGAGACGACACCGATGTCAGATACCGAAAAGGAGAGAATTAGGGGGGTGATTGAAGACTGCTATGCAAAGAGCATCCTTCCAGACGAATTCGCACCCACCCTGGCGGATTCTGGTCAGGACTATGTGAGGGTGGTGTTGGACAGCAGCTTCTACGGTATCCAGTCAAAATGGTTGACTGAGCATGCTATATCAGTACAATTCATAAGCGATGCTTCAACACTGCCCCCATCCGTGAAAAACCGACTGGTACGCATATATGAGGAGAGTTGGGCAAATTCTCAGACACAGAATTGCACTCCAAAAAAATGAGTTTTCCATTGTGATGGCAAAAACCTGGTTACCTACGTGGCAAGTGTCAAAGCCATCGCCACATGGCTAATCCGGAAAGGATCAGACATCATAGAGCTTGATGGGATGAGATACACTGTCTACTTCAGAAAGTGGATGAATGGAAACGAGTTGTATGAGTGGAACGAAGCACAGAAACAAAGATATTTCTGGGTTAGAGCTCTGCAGGTGCCAGTCTCCATCTTGCCCCATATCAAAGGGGGCAATACAAAAAGTTTTCGGGAGAATCTTAAAATCCCACGATGCCTTCACTGATCCCATCTCCCCGGATCTGTGGAACTTAAGATTCGACATGGAACCGGCAGCAAACGTGTGGTACAAGCAGCACCTGATTATTGATTTAATGAACGATGGCTGGGTCGATCTGAATGTCGCTTGCGCCGATTCCCCCTGGTGCAAAAAATGTAGGAAGTACTTTCACGGAGAGGATGATCCAGAGAGCCGGTGAATCTGAAGACAAATGCCAGGAAGAAATCCTACAAAGAGATTGTGAATTCCGGAAGCCCACAAGAAAACATCAACCAAAAAGGTAGGAGGGGAGGGGGGTCCGCCCACAGTCCACTGAGAAACGGGAAATCGACAGAGGAGCGGGTCTCCCAACCACTTACAAAACCCTCTGAGCCCAGCTGAGAGAATCCTGTTAAGGTTCTGTCATCGGACGAGGAAGATTCCAACTTAGAACACGAGCTCAAATCATCCCGCCATTGAGGGCAGAAACTCCCAGCGGGCTCGGAGAGAACGGTTCCAACTGTGAAGGAAAGAAACTTGTATCTTCCTATATCTGCCAAGAAGAAAAAAAATTTGAAGAAACTCTCTTGGAGGGAAAAGAAGAAAGTCAGAGCTAGTTCTGTGTCCCCCACTTCTTCGAAGGATTCATCAAAGACTAAAGAATGGGATAGGCATAATGAGACAGGGGAAGAGAGGGGCTTAGAAAAGAGAGAGGAGAAAATCAACGAAGAAACCCCCCCGGACACCCAGCCGATTCGGAGCCATGGATCTACGGAGATGGACAGCTCCTCCTCCTAGGAACTCCCCCCCCCTGTCGATCAGGTTCCCATATCCATTCCCACAGATTCGGTCCTCCCCCCAGTGAACTTCGAACTGTTGAAAGAGAAGATAGGGGGGGTCTGCCTGGGTTTCCCACCGATGATGGGGTCTTGCGAAGGGGGCCCGCCACCATCTTTGTCTCAACAAGAGGAGGTGAACAGGGAAAGGAAGAACATGTTCCCCACGAAGGGACAGGAAGGGGAAGGGTAAGACATCATTCCCCCCCAATCCAACCTACTTTTCAATGATGCGATAATAGACTTTGGGCAGATTCAGGGAGATAAGAGGAAGAAGTTGACCAAATCAAATGAGCCCAAAAAGTCCCTCAAACCCCCCGGACACTCCCTTTAGAAGCCAATAAGTACTAAGCCAGCGAAACGCATGAAGTCCAACGATAAGACAGCGATCCCTCAGCCCTTCCCCCATCAGGAGGAGAGACCCGAAGGAGAGGAGTCCTCAGGCCGTAAGAAGAGACCCTTCCAGCAAAAAAGAGAGAGGAAGGCTCTCAGTCTAGCTTTACCTATTGGAACGCTCACACGCAAGGATAAAAATGATAAGAAAATATCACACTTGGTTGTCCTCCTGATAGGCTCCAAAATTGCATCTGTGGCGCGGATACTGTGTCTGCAGGAGTCTGATGGTTCCCTCAGACTCCCCTCCGTGGAAGTACAGTCCCAGCTCACAGAAACACAAGCAGTGGGAACAATCAACTCAAAAATCTTGCCAAACAGGGGGGAAGTGGCCGCCCTCCCCCGAAGGAGGATGGACCGCCAAACTATGGCCAATAACAACGAGAGAACAACAGTCTTCCACATTGTAATAGTAAAGTTTGTGGCCTGGAAAACAACGCAAGACCAAGTCTATGAACAAGACTTCAAATGGATGGGGCTCTCCCCGCTGCTGGCTACCGCTTCCATGGCGTTGTCACAGATAAAAATTGGGCATGATATTTCGCCCAGCCACGTTGTTAATTGGATCTTCCAATCGGAACTGCAAGAATCCCTACTAGCAGTGGACCTACTGGACCACCTGCAGCACTTCATATCCCTGCAGGTGCTCATTGCCCTTCCCCCCAAGAAACTCCCAGCCCGCATTTAACCCATGAGCAGCAGCGACCACAGTGATGGTCCTGCCAAACAGGATTAGGATCGTAAGCTGGAACTTAAGAGGGTTGGGGGATACCTCCAACCGTTTCAAACGCGAAAGATTCTGGTCTTGGAAAAAAAAAGTTAGTCCACATATAATCTGCATACAAGAAACCAAGCTCAACGAGGTTAAAGCAGATAACCTGCAAAACTGGTGGAATGGGCCCAACTTTTCGGCCCCGGCTGACATTTCCAGGGGAGGAGTAGCAATACTCATCCATAAGGACCTAGACACACAAGTTCTAGATTCATTCCATGACCCAGACGAAACATGGGTCTGGGTGAAGATGGCGGTAGGAGACGAAGATTGGGCGGTCATGTTTGTGTATGCCCCAGTGGATTACATAGATAGGACTAACTTCTTCGCTGATCTCCCAGCCCACCTACCGGACGTAGACAACCTTGTGATAGTAGGGGACTGGAACACTACCTTAAACCTGGGCCTGGACTCCCCTACCCCAACCCCTATCCGCCGAGATGCGCATATGCTTTCCTGCTTTATAGAAGCGCAAGGTCTAGTAGATGTTTTCAGAACCCTGCATCCAGAGACACCAGACCACACCTGGTATGGCCCCAAACCAGCAGCAAAAGTCATCCCGCCGAGCAGGAGACTAG